TATCTATATTTATATCACATACATGCCTAATAAAAATAATTACTAGCACATTCATGGAAATTAAAACTATGGGCTTATGGTCGAGTATAAAACATAATATTACATGAAAGTGACTATGATATTAGGTTTGTTTTTGTAAGGCTTTGTTTGGTGTTTTTTGGAAACAAACTCATGCTGAAACATTGAATAAGGCTTGATCATCATCATAAACCTTGTCCTAATTGTTTGAGATTGGCTTTGTAATCTATTTTTTTCTTATAAATTTATTCATTTTGAGCATTGCAGAAAAAAAATATTCTCTGCAATGTCCTTGAGCACTATTCATATTAATTAATTTTACCAATTTTATTCCTAATGCTTTAACAATTATTTATCTACTCATTTATTGAGTCTATTTTGTATCTTTTGTTATGCATGTCTAGACCATTTAAATTTATTTTTAATTTTACTTTTTGCAATAAATGTTAACCCAATCATCTCTTAATATAATCATACCATAATTTATTCTTTATTGGGTTTGCTTTAGCTCAAAAAAATGGTAGTAGAATTGAATCTTGCTAGGAATTTGAGAAATGTGAATCCAAAGACAATATGCATGATTTGAACCCGCGACCTCATGGTGGTAACCTGTACCCTCAATGATTATGTCACGGGTAAGTGCACAATGTTGTTTGGAATACCCATAATATAATAAGTGAGTCCCTATAATTTTGGATGAGTAAATCCTCACTTAGCTCATGTACTTCTTCTTTTATAGTAATGATTATATAGGAATTTCTTTAATATAATCATTACTATGAAAGAAGAACTACATGAGCTTAGTGAGAATTCAATCATCCAAAGTTATAGGTACTCACTTATACTAAGTGGGAATTTACTCACCATAATATTAGGGACTCTCCAAATAAGAGGAACCTCTCACTCTTACCTTTTTGCTCTCATCAAAACCTTTTCATATTTATAATGTAGTATGCGAGCTTATAAATAAAGTCTTAGCCAATTAAATGAGTGGTTTCTGCCTTGTTGGGTGGTTAGTGATCATTGGGAAGAACAATTTATTCCCAATGGATCATCAATTTCATCTTTTTCGAAGAAAATTGGCCTCAAATATGATGTTTGACGAAACACCTTCCCCATTATTGTCAATCAATGCCCATTGGAGTGCTTATCCAAGAAATGGTGAAATCCACTTTGATACCAATTTGATGTAGCCCAAATAAACGAAGTAAATTAAAAGTTGATAGGAATGAGATAACTTTACTATGATAGAAAACTTTTATGATGGGTATGATCATAACTATTCCAGTGCCTTGGATTCTATTAGAACTTTGTAATTCCAGTGCTTTGGATTCTATTAGAACTTCGTAATGGACTGTGCTTTGGCAGGAGTAGTGCTATGATGGGTGATCTATTAAGAATGTCTCGTGTCGAATCCCTTAGAGTAAAAAAAAGAAAGACAAATTATATTAAATAAGTGGGGACTCACTACTTAAAACTATGGGGGTTCTCACTCACTCATAATGAACAAGGATTCGCTCACCTACGAACACTTAAGTTACCAATAGTTATAGTTCATTAGTATTCTTACTTACTCATCTTAATATTCTCATTTATGCTTATGCTTCACTTAATGTCCAAGCATAAATTGGCTCAATCAGGGCCATAATGTAATCAAATTTTCTTTTTTTAATGCTACACTAGGATGGCCAAATGGACAAAACAGTTCTATTTGAATTAATATTTCAATTCATGCTCTTAACTTATTTTGAATCATCAAGCTTCTAAGGGTTCAGAATGGTGTCTTTTAATTATGATCAAGTTCTTCACTTATTGGACATGACTTTGATGGATTTTGAGTGTCAATTGCTAAAAATTAGACATCTTTCTTTTTTAAGATTAGGGAATTTAATTTTAAGGCCAGTTATTGCAAATTGTGCATATTTCACGTTTATTTACTTTTTAAATGTGATGTTCAGTTACTGCAAAAATTACATATTTCACTCAATGCAAGGAATAATTAACTAGAAAGCATACAAGTAAGAAGTTGTAATTTGTTCTGTTCTATTAGTATTTACTTGAACATATAATTTCCTGATGCTTTTATAGGATTTTTTTTCAGCAGCATATGACTGTTCTTCCTAGGTAAGTCTTGAGTATGACACTTTTTTTTTAAAGGGCGATGAAAATGTTGGAGCAGCCCTTCTAACATACCCTGTCTTAATGGCTGCTGATATTCTTCTTTATCAGGTAGAGCTATCCAAGTTTCTCATCTCTGTTCTGTTCATTCTAAATGGGCTTTCATTTGTGTCCTAGCCATTTGAATTCACTCATTTGTCATTTTAAATTAGGTTCTAGTTCGAATTTTTTGTGTTCATTCATTGTCATATGTTGCTGATTTTGTACTGTAACAGTCTGATTTTGTGCCTGTTGGGGAGGATCAGATGCAGCATCTTGAACTAACCCGTGAACTGGCTGAGAAAATGAACCACCTGTATGGAGGACGGAAATGGAAGAAATTGGGAGGGTGGGGTTTTCTTTTTCATTGCCAACTGATAGAAGTTGATATGGTTGCTTGTTTCGACCTTGATCCTGATACTATTCTCTGAATGCAGGAAAGGCGGTGCACTCTTTAAGGCATGTCTCCCTCCTTCAGTTTCTTGGCTTTTACTCAAGAAGATGCAGATCTGCTCATTTCCTTTCTAAATATTTTAATCCTAGTTTCACTGTACGTAATGTAGGTCCCTGAAGCTCTTATTCAGCCAGCAGGTGCTCGTGTTATGTCTCTCACAGATGGTCTTTCAAAGGTAATCAAGGACACTTAGTTTTGGAGGAGACCCTTATATTCTCTTATGAATGCTCTTCCTTCGTCCAAATAGAGCGTCTCTTATTATCTTTTACTAGACTTTAAGGCATAAAATGGCCATGAACGCCATTTTAGTTTTGAATTGCATGTACATATTTTCCTTTATCCTAAATAGCTTAAATGAAAATTATAAAGATTATTTACTCACCCTTGATATAATAAGGTGCTTTTTGAAATTCTTCTCCTATTAATTTAATGATGGTTACCCCATAGATGTCAAAGTCGGCTCCTTCAGATATGTCTCGTATCAATCTTCTGGATCCAAAAGATGTAAGTGAGATATGCTTCAACCTTGTTTATCTTGCTACTGTTTCTATTGAATGTTTGAAACATATCAATAAAACATATTGCTGATAGAATTGCATTTTATAATTATTATCATCTAGGCAAGAACACATACGATCTATTGAATTATCCAAATTGTTACAAGTAGTTAATAAGTTTGAAGGTAGTTTAATTGCCATAAAAATAATAGTCTTCGTAATTCACTTTTTTGTTGCAGTTTTCTGATTTTTTATTTTTATTTTTTGCTTTTCAAAGTTTTTTACTTTATATGGTCGCTGAATTTTTCCTTATTCCCACGGAAAGTGCACATTAGGGAGCAGTTCCCTCTTATTTAAGTGTAGCTTGGTGATCCTTTAAAAAATGAAATGCATTTACCAAGCTTGTCAATCATGGAAAATTTCAACATTTTATTTTGTAAGTTTTGATGTTTATTTTTTATTACACATCTTTGTCATTAGTCGTCTATGGGCTTAAAAATTCTCACCCTGCTCTTTAATATTCAAATGAATTTGGGCAGATTTTCAAAATAGAGATTAGATATTAGATATTAGATAAGATACTAGGAGATTTTGTCTTCTAAGAAGAATTTCATTATAAGGGGAAGCTCTTAATGTTAATTGTCTCTCTTAATCTTGAGAAAGCATGTTCGATTAAGATTAGTCATCAGGATCTATAATGCATTTTTTTAATAATAATAAATTAATTGTGAGACAAGATATGTCCTTGTTTCCTGAGAGCAGATACTGGAAGAGATGATGTGCCAGATCAAGATCTGATAACTCTTTCATGTCATATTTTCTTAGAGTTTGATTTACTTATTCAAAAAAAGTAGTTACTCAATGTTATTAAAGTATCATTGTTAAAATTCATGTGTCATGTCATCTAAGGAAATTTGGCTTGTTTCATGCCATAATGATTGTGGCTCGTATACTTAGTTTTGGGGAGCATCATATTTAGGTGTCGTAATATAATAGTGTCATTGTTATTCGGCTAGTCACCTTATTTGAAGGTGCGTGTCACATCCTCATTGGAGTGAGGTTTTGGAGTGCGATCTTGTGGATATACTTGATCTGACTAACCGAATCATTGAATTTAAAATTGTCATTTCTTAGCAAGTTGGTACAAGGATGTATGCATAACTACTTTGAGCTTCAATAGGTTAATTATTGTTTTGTCATTTAAACAATCTTCCCTTCTACTATGCTTTTCCTTAAATACATATCATCATTACAAAAGATCCCGTGATGATTTATCTTGGAATTTAGGGTATTTTTATGATAGGATGATTCTTTCTTATTATGATATTATGGTAAAGGAACCCATCTTGGGAGTGACTTCAAATATTTAGTTTTATGATTAGGAGCTTGAACATGACAATAAATCATTTCAATTATGATATTTTTATAATTAAACCCATCATTAGGCTAGATATGTCCTCCCTACCTTTAGCTTTGCTGAAGGAGTTCTAGCTATTATTTCTTTTTCCGGTGACTAAAAGTAATCAAAGATGCCACAAATAAGGAATAATGTCCGTCCAGCCTAAGGTTTGGTTATGGAAGGTTTACAATGGGAGATTTGTTGTCTCCAACAAAGGATAATTGTTGAACAACGAAAATTGAAAGAACACTAGGTGGATCAAGAGAACAAAATTCTTGAGGACGAAGATGAAACCACATTTCATCAAGAATCCTCAAGTTTTGATGGGTTTGGTGATCCAGTGTCTGAATCATTGTGGATACTTGTATATGATTAGCAGTGTATGGTGAGAAATGTGTTGGAGTTCTTAGAGTGAAAAGTTCATGTGACGGCGTTTGGCAGCATGATCTGGTGGAGTTTATTATGAAAAAATTCAAATTAGAAGGGTTATTTCTATCACTTGTGAAATGTATGCTTCTTTAACCTCTAGGCAGTTCGAATTATCGTCAAATGATCGGTTTGATAATGACAATTCCTATTCTTTTAACCATAGAGTTCTTATTGGTTCGAATAAACTAAGTGAGGATGCTATGCTTGATTTGATTTCATTTGATACTAGCGGCATACCTGATTTAATTCCCACCAAACATGAAGAAAAGAAGCAAGTATACTACCTACCAAAATTGCAGATAATATTCAAATTGGAATGTTGGATGCGCCCGTAACTGAATCTATTGGTGTTTGGCATCTAGTTAGTGTCCCCAAAGGGGCAAAGCCTTCTCTCCATCTTTGCAGCGTAATTGGACAAATGAAGAAAACTTGGATTTTCATGGGCAAAAGCAGCCTCTTTAGGAACTTGATATGATTGTCCTACTTGGTCAACGATATTCTTCTCTTGATTATAAGTATGTTTGATATTGATGGCTCCTATTTTTCGCTTGCATTAGAGGAGCATCAAATGCGAGGATTCTCTTGTGATCCTTTCACTTATTCTTGGACAATAATGTTTGATAAGATTCTAGTTCTCATTTAAATTATTCGGGAAGGATTTCTAGGTTTTCATGTTCCTGAGCACTCTGTAGGGAAGAGTGATGCTGATGGTGACATGGTTTAACTGTTGCAAATTCATATTATTTTATATTGGGATCGTTAGAAGGGACTTGAAGTCACAATGCTTGTGCTATACCATACACATGCTATTATGTTATCTGAATCAAATGAAAGTCTTAACTTTGTTGTTAGTAATTATGAGAGATTTTTTTCTTTCTATTGCAAAAGGCCTTCTTGGTTCATTTCAGCTTAAGAGAAATCCTTTAGTAGATTTCTTGGGGAAGCTCCATTTTTGCCAAGCCCTGCATTGAGATTGTTGGAGGATGTTCGTTTTTCAAGTATTTATGATCACCTTAAGAAGATATTCTAATAGTGATCGAAGCACTCTGAGTTTTGGCCCTTTATGGAGTTTAATTTTGAACGGTCCATCTAATCGTCTAGTTTGCTTGAAGATTGCTTTGAAGTGTGTTGTTTATGCTAAAGAGGAAGTTAGAACATAAGCTATTGGTGGTAAATAAGCTCTATATTGTCCAACATGCCTAATAAATTATTGAGAGCTTTGCTAGAAAATTGTTGTTATCTGTTGTCAATCATCAAGTTCCAGAGGTGGAGTCTCAATGTGTGAGTTTTAGTCGGTAGAAAACTGGAAATTCTGAAGTCAGGGCTTCTAAAGTGAAATCACGAGGGACGCCCCTGCTTATTCATAGTATGCTGTATTGATGTCCTCATCCTCAAGCTCTCTGTAGAAAACATCATTGTTTTTTGCTTTCTATTCAAAGAAATCAAGTCTCTTCAAACTCATTTTTAATATTTACGGAAGAGTTCCAAAGGCTGTCAAGCAGGCTATTCATCGGCATGTTCCCATGCTTTTGAGAAATGTCCGAGTATCATCAAATGAGCTAAAAATTAATTTTCAATCCACATGAAGGATGTGAAAAATTTATTATTCTAGTGTTGCAAGTTATCAGTGAAGAATCAACAACTGATGCTAATATAATTACTGCTGTTAAGCATTTGTATGAGACTAGAATGAAGGATGCTGCGAGTTTGATCCCAGTACTTTCTTCTCTTTCAAAAGATGAGGTTTTACCAATATTTCCAAGGCTTTGATCTTCCAATTGAGAAATTCCAAGCTGCATTAGCTTGCATTCTTCAGGTTATACAGGTATAGCATTAATCTTTGTTGAGTTATTGAATGCAATTCATGACATCAATCCTGATAAGGATTGAGTTGCTCTAAAAAAGATAATGGAGGCTTGGATCATTGATCTTGACCTACTATGGGATTAGAGCAATTCCATTACTTTCAATGTCTCAGAGTTGGCTGCTCGTTACGAATCAGATCTAAGATTGCTCAATATGAGGGAATCTTGCCAATCCCGGGAGAATGACACTGGAATTAGAGTTTTATTTCACTTTATATGTCTTGGTTTATGTGTGTTTAGTTTGTTATTTGTGTTTCTATGTTTAAAGTGGCATACTTTAGGATGTCTTGTAATTAGGAGAGTCTAGCATTTGTAAATAGGGGCTATTTTTTGTGTTGCTTGGAGGGGGAGTTTTTGATTTGTTGTAATAATCTTTCCTATATTCTTCTGGGTTAAGAACTATATTCACTATATTGGAGTGGCCCATGTGGTGATCAACCATTTTTCTTTTAGTTAATGCATTCTTTCTCTTCCTCGGGCTGTCCAGGAAAACTCCTTTTCTGGAATTTTTGAAACTGCAGATTTTAATATTGCCTTGTTACAATATGATTATCCATATCTAATGAATAACATGATCATTTAATTAATTTGCACTAGGATTCGTGCTAACTCATAAATTATCGATACTGGAATCCAATAAGCGGTCATATACACATATTACAATACAGGGATATTTATATATATTTCACAAAATTTTTATATATTTAACATCAAAATTTTCATACTCACTGTCCTTGAAAATTGGCTTAAATTTATAGCATATGTTTTTAAATAATAAAAAAACTGAATGAACATTTTAAAAATATTAAAAAATAGCTTTGAATTGTAAAATACAAATTTATAAACTCAAGAAAATCAGAAACTATATAATAAAAAATTTGGAGACAAAATTATATATATTTTATTTTTTTAAATAATTATTATTTTTTTATTTTTTTAAATAATTTTTTTATTTTTATTATTATTGCCAACCAAATTTCCTTTTTTTTTTTAAAAAGCTGTGTAACTCTCTTCCCTCTCTCCTCTGTTCTCCGCATTAATAAAAAACTTGTTTGCTCAAGACTAGACTAGTTTCTGAACAAAAATAGAAAATCTCTATTGTGATGTACTGAGAAAATTGTTTTGTTTAGATGTTTCATCTCCCAACAAATTATTTGAGCTTAATTTATGATAACCATTTCTAATCCTACGAGCTATATAATAAAATTTACTTGACCGGGGCTGAGGCATGTTCCCCCCTAGTCTTTAATCCGCCCATGTGTTCATTACATACAAACACACTCACTCACGTTGAAAATACATGTGCTGGCATTCACAATTTTTTTACTCCTGTACAAATCATGCCACCATGTCAGAATTTGAACAATACAATAGTATTTATTTAAATTGGTTGTTAATGAATGCTATATGAATTTAGGTCATTGCCAACAAGATCAAGCGTTGCAAAACTGACTCGCCTCCAGGGTTTGTAATATATATCTACTGCAATTGTTTCTCCTTTTCTATATTATATTTTGCATGATATTTTGAAGATCATGCGTGTTATTTTCTGCCTCTTTCCACTGCACATATGTGAAAATACAGTTCATATTATTTATTTAATTTCATGTTAAAATTTCTGTACTAAATTATTTATACGCATGTGATGCTCTTATATTCAGTAGGCAGTTTCTGAAATTAGTTTGGTTCCAAGGAATTTTGTAATACTACTTAGTTGAAATATTTAACTATAGATATTCTAGAGCGTGCCTAAACTTTATTTATCTTTTGAACTTGTAACCAAGCCCGCATATTTATTTTGTCTTTGTACTTGGTCTAGCTGATATATGTAAACTAGACCAACAAGTAGAATATATATATATATATATTATGAAAAGCCCAAGGGCTGATTTTATTGAAATAGAAAAGGATACATAAAAGTTGTATGATAAGAGCCCAAAAGAGACACCCTACCATACGATACAAGTACAGTAATACCCCTGTATGATAAGAGCCCAAAAGAGGCACCCTACCATCCGATACAAGTACAGTAATATCCCAACAAGAGATACAAATAGACTCAATAAAATGTAAACAAATTTAAAACATGCAGAAAATGAGTAGCTAGGGACGAGCTAGTTTAGTCCTACATCTTCCTCTAGTTTTAGGAGTGAAACCATATAACAAACTTTGAAGAGTCGTGCCATTACTAGGAGTCACCAAAGTATCATCCATTAAGTTTCCAAGTTGGTGTGAGTCCTCAGCCTTCTTCTTTCTCCAAGAAGTTAAACATGTCATTCTTCATCTGAAGGCTGATTCATGTGATCCTCGATCTGATTTGATGTTAGGACCACAGTAGGTGGAAAGGCAGTCGTTGCCATCGCGATAGGTTCCAGTGTATGTGACGTGTGAATTGTTACCTCTGCACCTAATGCTTCCTGAATAGGAGCTGCGGGATTATCCTGATTTTTCAGTTCGAAAATTATCCGTTGTAGGATGGTCATGAGAAGGGATCTCAGGTGCAGACACCAACTCCTGTCTTGTGGTGATTCCCTTCTCAGGTTGATTGTTATAAGAGTTGCTGGGAGCGCGTTCAGACACATGAGGTGCATTAATAGTGTGTTCGTGCTTTTGACTATTGATTCTCAACTGTGGGTGCAATCTGAAACATTTTTCCTGCGGGTGTCTAAACATCTTGCAGTGCTTGCAGTAGTATGGTTTTTGTTCCATAATGATTTTTTGTTTTTGCCAATAACCATTGTGAGCAGATCCAAGTCAGACTTCTTTTACATATGGTAGTGTAATATCTCGTTCAATCAAAATCCTTGCAATAGAGGGCCTTGAGAAATGAACTCTAGGTATGTTTACCTACAAAGGTTTTCCAAAGATAATCCCAATTGCATATAAGATAGGTAGGTCAAAAAAAATGAAGTTTGAGTTCAGGTAATGAGAACCAGATAGGTGTAATTGGGGGTTCTTGACTGGGATCAAAATTGGGGTCCATTTGATCAATTTCATATGTTTGCCCTCAATTATCATGAATTTCTTTGAGAAAATCCTCGTGTAATCATCTTCTGTGCTCAGTTGTATCGTAACATGCCTTCCGTTGAAATGACCCACCTGTCAATCCCCAACCAGTTTGAAATCTTAAAAAATTTTCTTAATAATCTCCATCTTAGGGCAACCTAATTGGAACTTTCTAACTAGTGTAAATTTATATTTTCCTGCACGAGTTGAAATTTCAGCGTCAGAGAAGAATATTGCTGGTTTGCCCGTCTTTTTCTCTACTTTTTTGATGAAATTGCAATATTCATGTCCTGCAACAGAATCATAGTACATCTGCGGGAATATTGGACTATTTGCAAGGTGGAAAGAGGAGTTGCGTTTGTGAACCACTGTAGAATAGAAGAGTTTGGCGGAGTTATCACCAGTGAGGGCGGCAGCGTGGGAAAGCCCTGAGGCCATTATCGTGCTTCAAAACTGCAGGAGTGTCGAACGGCTCTGTCGCAGACGGCAGAGGCAAAGCCGAGCAGACCGGGAGGCCCTGTCGCAGAGGAGACGCAACAAAATCGATCGGCTATGTACCAGACGAGACGCAGCAGAGCGGCTCTGTTGCAAACGAGAGAAGCTGTCGAGCAGCTCTGTAGCAGACGAGACGCAGTAGAGCTCTGTCGTAGATGAAGATGACCGCAGCTCTGCCGCCAGACGAGACGCGAACGCAAAAGCGAGACGTCGCGAATGAAAGCAGACGATGACGCAAGTAAATCACTAGGGTTCGCCATGGGGCGGAACCCTAGCAGA